GATTATACACCATGGCCAAGTGGGATTTATCCCAGGAATGCAAGGTTGGTTTAACATCTGAAAATCATCTCATGAAATGCACCATTATTGCTAGAATAAAGAACAAAAACCATGTGTTCATCTTAACAGACACAGAAAAAAGCATGTGATAAAATTTAGTACCCCTTCATGACAAAAATATTTAACAAAGTGGGGACAGAAGGGAATGTCCTCAACCTAATGAAGGGCCTGCAGCAAGCATCATGCTTAATGGTAAAGACTGGCTGCTCTCACACCCAGAAAGGACCAGGTGAGGGTGTCTGCTCTCACCGCTTTCATTCAACATTGTACTGGAGGTTCTTGCCAGGGCAAGTAGCCAAGAAAACTAAATAAAAGGCATCCAGCTTGGAAAAAAATAAAACTATTTGCAGATGACTTGATCTTTATAGAAAGTCTTCAGGAATCCACTAAAAAACTGTTATAACTAATAAGCAAGTTCAGCAAGGTTGCAGTCTACAAGATCAATATGAAAGAACAATTGTATTTCTATACAGTAGCAGTGAACACACTGAAAATGAAATTAAGAAAATAATTCCACTTACAGTAGCAACAAAAAGAATAAAATAGTTATGAATAAATTTAACAAAAGAAGTACAAAACTTACATTCTGAAAACTACAAAATAGTGTTAAAAGAAATTAAAGACCTGAATAAACAGAAATACATCTCACGTTCAGAGATCCAAAGACTTAATGCTGTTAAGATGGAAAACACTCCCCATATATATACACGTAGCCTTGGTCTTTAAAAGGAATTTGGGCCGGGCGCGGTGGCTCACGCCTGTAATCCTAGCACTGTGGGAGGCCGGGGCGGGTGGATGGCTCAAGGTCAGGAGTTCGAGATCAGCCTGAGCAAGAGCGAGACCCCGTCTCTACTAAAAAAATAGAAAGAAATTGGACAACTAAAAATCTATATAGAAAAAATTAGCCGGGCATGGTGGCGCATGCCTGTAGTCCCAGCTACTCGGGAGGCTGAGACAGAAGGATCGCTTGAGCCCAGGAGTGTGAGGTTGCTGTGAGCTAGGATGACGCCACGGCACTCACTCTAGCCCGGGCAACAGAGTAAGACTCTGTCTCAAAAAAAAAGGAATTCGGCTTTTTTTATTTTTTAATTGTGACAAAATAAACGTAACGTATAACTTACCATTTTAACCATTTTTAAATGTACAGTCTGGTGGCACTGAGCGCGTTCATAGTGTTGTGCAACCATCACTACTGTCCATCTCCAGAACTTTTCCATGTTCCCAAACAGAAACTCTGTCCCCATTAAACACAAACTCCCCATCCCTCCTCCCCCAGCCCTGGAAACCACCATGCTGTTTTTTGTCTCCCTGAATCTCATCATTTTAAGTGCTTCACATAAATGGAATCACACCATATCTGTCTTTCTGTGACTGGCTTATTTAACTCAGCACAACATCCTCCAGGTTCATACATGTTGCAGTGTGTGTCAACTTCCTTCCTTTTTAAAGCTGAATAACATTCACCACATTTTGTTTATCCATTCACCCCCTCCATGGACATTTGAGTTGCTTCCACCTTTTCGCTATTATAAATAATGTTGTTATGAACAAGGGTGTGCAAATATCTGAGACTCTGCTTTCAATTCTAATATTAAAAGAGATCTTCAAATGCCAAATCATTTGGGACTAATAGACTAAAACAGGGGTCCTGGCTCTCTGCGGTTCGTGCCTAACGACCCACGACGCTGCTGTGAGGAGTCAGACCGGTAAGTGGACCTCCCGAGGCCACAGTGGGGGCAGTGAGCACCTCCTCACTGGAGGCCCACACTTCTGGCAGGTGCGAAGTCACAGCATATCCACACCCACTGTCCCTGAACTCCACTATTGCAAAACCAACACAGATGCGCCACTTGGCAGGCACAGTGGGCACCACAGTGACATCACGGGAGTACAAGGAGACCACGTCTCTGCTCAGAGTGGACCTATGTGGATAGGCTGGCTCCACTGACTTGAAGAAACCAAGCCTGGGGCTAGAGGGGCCCAAGCGCCAATGCACTCACCAGCAGGCACCTGCACCTGTACCTGTACTTGCTACCTGTGGTTTATTCTTGCTATATTCTACCTTGCTCTCCTTCAAGAAGAAATTGGCATTTCTTTAGTAGCTTTTTAAATAAAAAAACCCCAAAGAGAGCAAAGTCTCTATCTTCTGCCTATGTTCTGAGTCCTGGGAGCTGCCCAATGGATGGATGCAGTGCAGAGACCCTGACTCAGAGGGTCAGTGTACAGACCCAGGCCCACACATCTACCTTGTGCCAGGCCGGCAGCTCCTCACGACCCATGCCTGATGCAAGCCCTGGCAACGTGGCCCAGAGCTGGGCGAGGCAGTGGCCCCTACCTGCTGCTCGGGAGGCAGCGCGCACTGCTGCACCAGGTACTCGATCATCACCTCACCTCCAGGCTGCTCCAGGTAGCCATGGTGGGCCATGGCACTGATCACCTGCACCACAGCCTGCTTCACCTGCCAAAACCAATGAGAGGTCAGAAAGGGGCTGCAGGCTGCCACACCAGTCCAGCCAGCAGACAGGAACCTCGCTCCTACCCCACCCACACCTGTGCTGCACCCACACCTCTGCGTGAACCTGTGCCTGCACCTACACCGACACCTGTGCTGCACCCACACCTGCACCTGTACCTGCACCTGCCTTCTCAGTCCCTCAGCTTTGTGGGGGCTTCTCTAGCTTCCCTGACAGCAGCCCTTGTGGATGTGCTCAGGTCTGCGGGGGCCTCTTTTCCTCCTGCCCGTCATACCTCCCCCAACCCCACTGCCCAGGCCCCAGAAGTCTCTTCGTCTCACTAGTTTCCTCTCTCCATCCACTTCCATCAAGCGTCACCCCAACTCCACAGGGCAGTTCTGATGAAGCCCTGCCGAAAAGCCCCCTGTGCACAGCCTCCCTGACACCAGCTGCCACCCGTCCCAGACTCCAATTGCCCTGGCCTCAGGCAGAGGAGGCTGCTGTCCTCCCAGCCAGCTCCTCCTGTGCAATACCCACACACTTCCTAGTAAGTGCTGTCATCCCAGCTGTCTCGCCCTTCAGGTGATGGACCCCGAGTCTGCACCTGTTGCCCCAGCACCCCTGGGAGTTCCGTGTCCACGTGTCCTGCCATGCCTGCTAACTCTGCCTGGCGACTCAAAGCCATGGCCAGTCCAATGTGACTGAAAACAGCCACTCCTTCCCCTGCCCGGCCAGCCCCTGCCCCAGGCTCCAGGCCTTCTCATGTGCTGCCTCTCGCTCGGAAACCTTCTCCTCTGCGTTGTAATAATGCCTCTGCCTCTTCAGACCTCAGGCCAAACATCACTCCTCAAACCACTGCCTGCTTGTGTCCTTCCCAACAACACACGTGTGTCTAGCATGGCTGTTGGGGGAACAGGTAGGTCTGGAGGAGCGAGCAGGCTGGCATCTGTCTACCCAGGCAGAGTACATCTGGCCATCTGATTCAGCAGGTGTCATACAGCTTGGGCCCCTGTGAGGAGCTCCAAGACTCTGTCTGGGTGTGTCTGGGAGAATGATCCTGAATAAGAAGAGGGGTTTGTGGGCTATATAGAGGGGACCCTGCAACAGATGTGACTTGGGGTCCATTTCGGTAGCTTCTGAAAAAACACAATAAAACTCCCACAGAAGGTCCCAAAGAGGAATCCCAGGACCAGCACAAAGGTTGGCACGGTCCCCAGAGAGGGCCAGGGGGTCCCTGATGCCCCTATAGCAACCAGATCCTGGCCAAGACTGCAGTCCCTGGCTAACCTGGCCCAGTTAAGGATCTACCTTACCCAAAGATAGGCCTGGCCTCTGTCCTCAAGCCTGGGAGGTCATCGCTACACCCTGGAATGTCCTGCCTGTTAAGAACGTCCTTGTTTACCTGAAGGCCTCGGGCCATGCCAGGTGGTCTAACCATGTGATCTCAGTGGGGGCTTTCGGCCACGTGGCATCAGCTCTACCTCCAGAGGGGCTAGAGACAGCTTAGCCACGTGGGCAGCCAGACAGGTCCACAGGACAGAATCCAGGGAAGATGCAGGCACTGTGCATTTCGGCACGCAGCCTGGCCACGGGAGGTAACCCCGTGGGGGGAGGACACCTGGAAGCTCTGCGTTTGGACCCTCCTGGACTCTGACCCATGCACCCCTGACCTGGGCTGATTCTGTGCTGCATCTTTCCCCTGTAATCAGCTATAGCCATGAGTGTAAAGCTTGAGGTGAATCCTGGAAGTCCTTTTAGTGAATTTCTGAACTTGACCATGGTTTTATGGAACCCCCTGGACTTGTGACTGGTGCCTGAAGTGAGGGTGGTCTTGGGGACAGTTCCCCTACTTCACGCCAGGCCAGTACACCAAGAGCACCCGTGGGAGAGTGCCAGCAGCACACACTGAAGGACACACAACACCATGTGTCTGCTCTGGGGCCTGGCCACATTCCCTACAGCTGCTCATGCTGGAGCAATGGCTGACCTGTCGGCTCACCTTGCTGCTGGGGTCCAGAAGAGGAAGCCTCATGGAAGAGAGAATAAAAGGCTTCTGAACTTCCATTTGAGCAGCTGCAAGAAAGGAACAAAAGAACTCAGCCTCCCCACCAAGACCAGGCCCAGTGTCCCATCCCCCACCTGGAGCACAAGGCCATGTGCCAGGGCCCCAGCCTTTCTGTGGCCCTGCCTGGGAGCAGGGGAGGGCATTAGCAAAAGCACGCCTACCTCCCTCCAGGACAAAAAATCTTTTTTCCCCAAGTAACATTATTTTACCTTATTAAAAAGCTAACAGGGCACAGGGAGGGGAGGGGGGAAAAAAAAAAAAAAGCTAACAGGTTGGCAGTTTAGGACAGTAGGTAAATGAATGAGTCTGAGTCAGAGAGACCCAGGTTCGTAATGCTGGGGAAGTTCCTTCAGTGGCTCTCAAACTTAAAGGCGTCAGAGCCACCAGAAGGCTCATCCTCCCTTGCTCCCTGCCACAGGTTCTGACTCAGCAGGTCCCCGTGGGGGCTCAAGCATGCACTTCTCACACGTTCCTGGTGCTCTCCTTTGAGAACCAGCAACATAACCTTCATTTCCTGATACTTAAATGGGGATAAAAAGTGGCTCTCAAGAAGTGGTTGTGAAGTTAATAAAAATAAAACCAACATGGGAGGCTGAGGCAGGAGGATCACTTGAGCCCAGGAGTTTGAGCTACAGTGAGCAATGATGACGCCACTGCACTCCAGCCTGGGCGACAGAGCAATATCCTGTCTTAAACTAAACTAAAATAGAAACAAAGGACACTGAACATGGTGAAGTGGCCTCTGAGGCACGATGCACATGGTTGGACCCATCCCAGGTCCTAGGTGCCAAAAAGGTTGGGGACCACCACTGTAGAAGGCTCTTCATGACCTCAGAATTGGGAAGTATGGAAGACACAACAAGAAAAGATAGGAGGAAAAGATGCGTGAGGCCTACCCTGAAGTTCAGAACTTTTGTTAATCACAACAGCACAGAGAACTGAAAAAACAGCCACAGGTAAACACAGCAAAGGGCATAGGAATTCCAACAGGTCAGTAAGAAACAGAGACCAACAGAGAGATGAGTGAGAGATGCAAACCCATCCCAACCACCCACACCGTGAGATGCCACCAGACTCCATCCCGGTCAAGGAGATGCGGGACAACTGCCTGGTGGGCACAGATGGAGAAGTCTGGTGCAAAGCCACATGAGTGCCAGCACGGGGAACAGCTGCACAGGACTTTGGAACACAGCCCGGCATCATCTAAGAAAGCTGAGGATATGCCTGAGGACCACAAGTCCCTCCCAGGTGAGGATTGCCTGCATCTGAGGAGGTGGACACACACCCTGAGCAGCTTGTTCCTGATAGCGAACTGTCAAGTCACTCCAGGATGGGGACCTGGTGGGGCACAGGCAGCCAAGCCCCAGAACAGGTCCCAGCAAGGCAGGGGAGCAAACACCAGCAGCACCCAGGAGAGCACGGGGGATGCCTAGCACCTGACGGACAGTGAATCTCACAGGACAGGGGTCAGCACATTTGTTCCATAAAGGGCCAGTTAGAAAATATTTTAGGCATGTTTATGATGATTGTTCATAAATTTAAAAAATATATATACATAGTAGGCATTGTGGGCTATATGTAGTCTCTGTCACATATTCTTTGTTTGCTTTACAATCCACTAAAAAGGTAGCCACCTCCTCAGTACACAGGCTGTAGGCCTCATATATGCCCACAGCCATTGGCAACCGACTCTGTAACAGGACACAAGGGACCTACACTGATAATCACAAACTCACACGGGAAAGATGTTATTTTTTTCAAGCTTATTACTAATTAATTAAACTTAAACCCAGAAAAACTGAATCCTTTAATCTACCTGGGAGGAAACCATCATGCGTATGAAAATCGAGGAAAATTCTACAAAACAACTGGCCTCAACCCCTAAAACAAAAAAAAGGACTCTTCTTGGTCAAACGAGTCTAGCAGACAACCAACCTAAATCATAGCATGCCCTTGATGAGGTCCCACATGAAGGGATGACCTGGCAGACACCCTGTGACAAGGGTCCGTGCAGCTCTGAGAACCCTGACGGTGTGGTCACCTGGGGAATGCCAGCCTGGAGAGGACACACGAGCACGTGGGCTATTTGATGCCAGCCGTCCAAGGCAGGTATCAGCCATCAACTTCTTGCGACAGTAGATGGGCACTATTCTTCCAACTTTTCTAAAAGTTTGTAATTTGCACGCACAGAAGCTGAGTGTGGAACAACAGACAATGGCGACTCGGAGGGTGTGGGAGGTGCTGGACAGGAACTATGTGTGTTGCTTCAGTGATGGATGCACTGAGGCCCTGACTTCACCACAATGCAACATATCAGTGCAGCAGAATTGCACTTGTACCCCAGGAATACATACACATTTTTGAATAATTCTAAAAGAAGTTTGGAATGTTTACGAAATAGAAAGTTGAGGAAATATTTAAAAGAATTCAAAGCAGGATGCTCCTTTTCACCTGAAAGATGGACAATATCTGCCGTTCCCAGGCCCTGCTTCAGCACGGCAGGCATCGGGGGCACTCACCAGCCGAGTTGATGACGTGTCTCAGGACCTGCAGGGTGCCCACGCGGAGCCTCTCATTGCTGGTGTCCAGCCTAGGCAGCAGGAAGGCTAGCAGGCGGCCAGGTGCGCAGCAGGCTGCAGGGCAACACGTGCCCGTCAAGCTCTGTCCAGAGCCACCTCTCCTCGTTCTAGGCCTGCACCTGCAGCCCCGGGGGGCGGGGTGTGCCTCCCTTGCTTGTCCCTGCACCCAGCATCTACACACTTCCCAGCACAGAGGAGGAGCAAGTGAGGAGTTGCTGTGTGACTGGTGAGAAGCTGGGGCTGCCTGATTGTTCAGATAGGCCCTGATGGCCTCTGGGTGGGGTGTGGGGTCTAACATGGGGGCCCAGGAAGGTCAGTGTCACCTGGAGCAAGTGGAGATGCAGATGCTTGGCCACCCTGGATCTGGGTGCTCACTCTAGCTTCTCATACTCATAGGGCCTACAGGCCCTCAGTGCCCTCCTGCCCCTCCTGCCTCCAGGCCAGTCTAAAGCTGAGGAGACGCTCACACCATCGAGCACTTGGACCCCCAGCCCAAGCTGCAGGGTCCCTCAAGGGGCTCTTCACCCAGGCTCCACTTCTGAGTGCTGCAACAGGAACCTTCCGGCAATGACCTCAGCAGGTTCTTTATTCCATGAACCGTCATCGTCAACAGTGCAGGTGGGCCTTGGGTACCTGTTCTGCCTGGATGTCAGACTTGCTGCCCTCCTGCCTGCCACACCCCTCCCCCAGCCCAGCTGAGGCCAGTCTCCTGTCTCCCCTCCTTCCACGCGCCTCCTGGGAACTGGGGCCTCCACTCCTGAGGGTTTCCTGTAAAGGTCGATGCTGATGCTGGTCTAGGGAGGGCCCAAGGTTCTGCACTTCTGACCAGCTCCAGGTGGATGCTGATGCTGCTGGCCCCAAGCAGCGTGACAGTCCTGGGTGCAGGCAGGGTCCCTAACTCCATCCTCCTGCCCTTGGGGACTGCCAAGCATGGCCCGTGTAGGGTGTAGGAATAGGGCTGGCAAACTAAGCCCTGATGGTCCAGGCACCACGGCACACTAGCAGGGCAGTGACAGGGCGCATGGCTCCTCCAGGCAGGGTCACGCAACACCAGACTGGGTGATCAGGGTCCACAGGCACATGCCCATGTGGGCAGACAGCAGGCCTGGGCCACGGTGAGGGGTGTGGAAGAGCAGGCTGCTGCGAGGGTGTAGGTTGGGCAGACATGCCCCTGCCTGGAAAACGGATTCCAGACTGTAGCCACTGGTCAGGTCCTGGCTGTGAAGCTTCCTGGGCCATAGGCAGGCCCAGGCAGAGGTGGAAAAAGAGGCTCCTCAGCCCAGCAACCACCACCCCCTACACACTACAGCCCACTGAGGGTGTGGGAGGACGCTGCCACTCACCCAACACGGTGAAGCAGCGCAGCACCTCCTTCTGGTTGCTTATCACCAGGGGGCTCGAGGACTCCACAGGCACACAAATCTGCTCAAGGGAACAGAGGACAGAGGTTACAGGGACAGTGTTGTCACCCTGGGACCTAGCTGGGCTGGAACGAAGGACGTGTGCCCTCTAAAGACGCTAGGCCTGAGTAGCTGGGCAGACAGCTCCAGGCTGCTCCTCCACGTCCACGGCTCAGGTGCAAGACGCTCTCTGGCCTGTTCTTACCCAGGAGTGGGGATGGCCAGGCCCCAGCCACAGGACACGCTCACCCTTGTGTAATCAGAGGTGCTTCAGCGACCAGCCCCATCCCCTTGCAGTTGGAGGATAGAGACAGCAACAGACAGACACACGCAGCTTGCCCTCAAGTCTCAAGGCAGAAGCCCAGCTCCTTCCATACTCCTCCCTTCCTAGCAGCAGTCAGAAACACTTCTGTACTAGGAGGGAGACTGTCTCCCATGCCCCTGGGCACGCATGCCCAGGTCACAGGCTGGAAACCACTAATCTCTAGAACATAGAAAGCACTAAAAAACAAAACATCTAGAGTTCGTTTACTCAACTTTTTTTTTAAAGTTGTATTGGTAAAATGTAAAGTAAAAACTAAGGCTGTTGGCAGATGTGTCTCTGGGCTCCGTGGTACCTTACAGGTGAATTCCAGGTGTGACATCCCAGGTACCCACTCACCTTGGTGTCACAGCAAAAGACACTAGCAGGGCCTTTGCACAAAGGGGTCTAAAGCAACTCTTTAGTAGAGACCACCTTATGAGCCAGAAGTAACCACAGCACCAAGCAAAGGCCCCAGAACAGCAGGGCTCCACCCCAACCTGGACTCTGCCAGTTCTTAGAGAACTGTCGGGAAGCAGAGTAAAGTGGAGGTGCTGGCCCAAGGCTCTGCTCTAGGTTCCCAGGTAGCTCCTTGTCATTTCAACTGTAAAGACCAAATATGATTATAAAAGATGCCGCAGCTTCCTGCCTATTCCCTCAGCTCTGCAGGAAGCCAGCTGCCGTGTCATGAGGACAGTCAAGTAGCCCTGTGGAGAGTCCATGTGGCAGAAACTGAGGCCATCAGCCACATGAATGAGCCAGCCCCAGTCGAGCCTGCAGATGACATGGCCCTGGCAGACACCATGACTGCAGATTCACGGGACCCTGAGCCAGAGCCGCCCAGCTGAGCTGCTCCCGGATTCCGGACCCACTGGGACTGTGAGATAATAGATTATTGTCTAAGGTGGTAAGTTTTGTGGTAAATGGTTACACAGCAATAGCTAACTAATGCAAATGGGTATGCATCTGGAAGAAAGGTAAGTGGGATTCTCACTCATTCCTTCCCGAAAATAAATTCCAGATGGATTAAAAAATAAAAGTATAGGGGAAATGAGGAGCATTTGAAAACTAATCACCGAATTTGACTGGCTTTTCTATGTATAACAAAACTGGAATTATAACATAAAAGATAAATGATGATGTAAAAATTAAACAATTTTGCATGGCAAAAAACCAGTCATGACATAAAGGACAAGGTGGAAATAAGTATAAGTCTATAACACAAGGCTGTAAAGAACTGCCACAGATCAACATGAAAAACCTAAAACGCAACAGAAACACAAAAGGCATGAACGGACAGCTCAAATAACAGGTTTTTTCTACCTGCTCAGCTTTTGTATATTTACATTTCCCTTTTAAACCCTTTCTCCACTCCCATCCCCTCCCCTGGATGGTCTGTCTTGCAGTTTGTGCATGTGCTGTTCTGTGCATTTTTTACATTAAGAAGATGACACTGGCTGGGTGCGGGTGGCTCACGCCTGTAATCCTAACACTGTGGGAGGCCGAGGCGGGTGGATCGCTCAAGGTCAGGAGTTCGAGACCAGCCCGAGCAAGAGCGAGAC